ATTTCTTAAAATTACAAATACTGTATAAGCAAGTCCAGTAAGTACACACAGTAGACATTTAGCCGTGCAGTAAAGCAGTGACAGTAGTAGAAGTTGACGGTCGTACATATAACTCACACGCATATAACTCGCATTTGAAAACTATAGTGTTTGATAAGTTATAATTTAGACCATACCGAATTGCGCCTCACAACAGGGCGTTAGGACATAAAACTTAACGGCGAAATTACTCACTCATATATTTAACAACTGCATATAAATAAACACATGGGAACCCTCTGAAACCCAGTGAAACGCATCCAACTCTATACCGTAACCTTAAATAATGCGGAAAGAGCAACACGGCAGCTGTAAAAAAAAGTCCGACAATAATGTATGTAATTTTCATGTGAATCGCGGCTCTAAAAACCCAAACCCGTACAACATTCACCCATCATGACATAATGTTACAGAATATGGCTCCGCGGTGACCCGGCCGTTTCATTTTTATTCAGGCCCTTTCCAAACTAATCTACGCGACGCTGAGTTATGAAGCGTATCAACACATGTTCACCTGGAATTTCTTGATGGCCTTCACTTAACTTTCATTTGTCACCTCTGGGTCCTGCTTTGCACAGCCGCAGCCAAGCCGTAAAAATCAACGCGGCCATCTATTCACATAAGGCCGGCTGTCCGCACCGGCCTCTTAAGCCCAGAGGAAGTGAATATTTTTCCTGTCTAGCTGCGTTTTACACTCGGGTCATTCTTATAAGTGTTACAAGCAAAACACAAATGCCACAAATGTCTCTGGAGCGGCTGCTGCTGTGTGCGATGGGAGATCTCAGAAGAGTTTTTTTTGTGTGGAGGGAGCTGACCTGGTTCCATTGTGTGTGAATGTATTTGTCTTTTTAGTCCCATTTGGGAAGACATCACAGAGACAGAATGATGCAACTGTGATGTCAGGACACAATGAGAGACTTTGAATGTTTTAGTGTTGAAATGACTCCATGCAGGGGTTGGAAAAACTACCTATGTTTTAATATTTAAGATAAGATGAGATATTCCTTTTTTTGTCCCTCAATGTCATTGTTGCGCACATTACAGCAGAGAAAGAAGGAAATAATAGCATTCAGATTGCACACATCAAATAGTCTATTATTTAAGATAATAGACAATAGAATTAAAATAAGATAAAGAATAAACTAAAATAAATTTAACTCTGGAGCTATAATTGTACTTGGTTCAGGAGTATTTACAGATGTGTACTGTATATTGTAACGGCGGAAAATATGAGCAGAATAAACATTCATTCATTTTCAACCCCTTTATTTGTCCATTTCTGGGTCGGGAGGGTGGCAATGAGAGCTACCACCCAACGCTCAAAGGGGGTGGGTCCACAGGAATATGGCTGCTACATGAGTGGTGTCTCAGCGGGAGTTTCAAGCAATGTGGGGTTAAGTGTCTTGCCCAAGGACACAAAGACAGCAGACATTAGTGGGAGCAGTTGGAGTAGGTCCCGTGGTGGGCTCAAACCCACGACCTGCCGGATCAAATGCCAATGCTCTACCAACTGACCTACTGTCACCCGCAGAATAAACACCAGAATAAGCATCAGTGATAAAATGCATATGTAATAATGCAGAAATAATAACAACAGTTAAGTGACTAGTGACAGAGTTACTAGTGAATTATTATCAATGACACTTGTACAGATTTAACTTTCACACTTTCATGCTTTTTCGTTAGTTAGTTGTTTCACATATAAGGTAAGGTAAGGTTTTATTTATATAGCACATTTTACAGACCGAGGTCACCCAAAGCGCTTTAGCGCTTAGTTCAGATAGTTATTCCATTCTCTCCACAAACGGTGATGACGGAAGCGAGTCGCCGAACGCACTGGCGCATCCAAGCCCCAACCAACACAATCCATTCACTCAGTACATTCATATCTTTACACTAATACTAGTTTGAAAAAGGGGTTGGATGAAGCGGATACCTATTTTTCCCCAACCCTCTTCACTGTTCAACACAATGCAATGCTATGAATAAACATACAATATCAACACAAATATGAAACTGTGGAGTACATACCGTTAAATGCCATACCTAGCCTGGTCTTACCATATCACCGTACGATGCAGAACAAGTCACAAAGTTATGAAGACCGAAAACGTACATAAAATTACACTTTCAAAACGAAAAGCCGTCTAATTGACTGCTCTGGGAGTTCTGGTGTTGCGGCCCGACAGGTTGTCTCACTCCTACTCCGCGTGTCAGGTGCAAAGTTGCAATCGAACGTTGTGCTGCTAAACATTCCCGAACAGTTGTGTTTCCATGCATTTGGGAAAGTTGATCCGTGAGACTCTCCCACTTTCCTTGGTTTACATTATGAATTAAAATTGCTCTATTTGACCCACGTAAACGCTCTGCCTCTTATCGCACGGATACTGTTCCATCATGGGTTTGGTCTCTTGAACCTGGGTCTATACTTCACGGGAAGCACCGCCAAAGGAAGAGCACGATCCCCCCCCCCCCCCCCCTCTCCCCCCTTTCACCCCCTTCTTTGTGCCCAGCGGGGGAGTAAATCAGGCTCTCTCCGTTATTGCAGAGCGCAGGTCGGGCTGAAGCTGAGCAGCTGAGTAGCACATGTTCAAGGACCCCCTGCCGTCGTCCAAAGACACTCTTGATAAATTCTCTACAGGTGGACTGCAGTGTGTGTGTGTGTGTGTGTGTGTGTGTGTGTGTGTGTGTGAAGGGGGGGGGGGTGCGTGTGTGTGAGACCTCGGTGCAATTTCAGGCCATTTCAGATTCTTTGGCAATCATCAAACTACTTGTCTCTCGGTCGATCAAACTACTTTTATTTTTTTCATAGAAACCAAAGAAGACACATTTTGCTTTTGTTGCTTGTGTATTTTGATCATTCAATTTTCATTTGCAACGATTGGCAGAAGAAGAAAAAAAGGTGTAGGGTCGGAGCGTGTGTGTCAGAGAATATGCTAGTGTGTGGGAGTGTGTTTGTGAGTGTGTGTAAGTGTGCTATGTTTGTGTGTGTGTGTTTGTGTGTTTGTCGGAGCCCAATAAGCATCTGTTCTTCCAATCCATTATAACACTTTTCAATCTGAATTTCTTGTATACTTTTTATTGTTTTTGTACAATACATAAGTTTGAAATAGCAAAAGGTAATATAATATAGATACTTAAAATCCTAAATTGCTATGACATCAACAGTGTAAGTCGTCAAATCCACAAGAAAAGTCATGTTTGGATCATACTTGCACCAGTGGTTTTTCTCACACTTTTCCCATAGAAGTGTGATGTGTGTCTGCATGTGTGTGTGTGTGTGTGTGCGTGTGTGTGTGTGTGTTTGTGTGTGTGACGTTAGGGGGTTGGTGGGACTTTGGCTCAGGAACAGGACTCTGGCGTCTCTTGTCAAAGGCTGCAGCATTTTGTTTCTTCAGGTGAGAAGTGGTTCTGCCTCATTTGTGCTCAGTAATGACTAGTGCTGTATAAAGTCTATCGCAGGACACATCAAACCACCGGAAACCCACGCTCCGGTTTCAGCGTTCATATTACGGTGAGCTGCGTCCGTCTCCACTACAGGATGTGTGTGTCATTTCACCAAAAGAAAAAATCTGTGTAACCTCAGTCCCGCAGTGTAAAGAGAAAGTTTACAGAACATTTGAATAGTATTGTGTTATGCACTGGACTCCACAGTGGAGGAAACGGCCTGTTCTTTATTCACACATCAGTCTTAGACCATTGAAGGCCAAACATCTCGACGGATTTGTAAAAAAAAAAGTTCAGTGTTGCTTTAAAGGAGCTATATTCCAGTAATAGTATGATGTCATCGTGACCCTATGACATCATGCTCAGAGGAGTTCGCTATCTTTTAAAGCACTGCCCATACATTCGTTTTTGGTAATTTCTCAAGTGAAGACAGACAGCATTGTCTTTCACTCAAGAAAAAAAATATCAGTGAGATAAAAGATAACATGTTCTCAAATAAGATTAACATTTTTGATGGACTAAGGCTATATCCACACAAAGACAAAACGCTTATAATTTCAGAAACTTTTTCTGTAAACACGGAGTTAGCTCAGTAAATGTGTGCGTCCATATGAATGTAGTCAATACGCCTGAAAACGCTGTGAAACTATGCCAGACCTGTTGGTGGCGCTGTGACGCAACGACGGGATCAAGCCCAAACTTCTGTGACGGGAACTGGGCATGCGCGGAATTTTGTAAACAGACAACATGGCGAGTGGGCGAGCTGGTACTACATTAGTATGGACGGACGATGAGGTTGAACTGTTGCTTCGGGTCACACTGGATTACAAAACCAACAAGCTACATTGTTGTTGTCATTATTTTCTGAGTGCGGCGCATGCGTGCTTTAACAAGAGGCGGGGCGATGACGCAAGCGTCTCAGATACATTGCGGAGAGGCAGTAACCACGGAGCGGCATATACAGAGTTTTGAAATCTTTCCACTCTGGGACCTAGTTTCAAAAATGTTCGTTTACACCCCCCCAAAACGCCGGCCTCGTATGGACGATACACTGGATTGATAAAGTATTTTTGCGTTTAGGCCTGAGCTTGACTTCGTGTGGACAGGGCCTAAGTTGAGAGGGAGAGTGAGCGCTGCTGTGGGCGGAGTATGCGGGTCAGGTGCTCATCAGGAACCAAAATGCAAAAAGCTTAAAGATGCTATACCCAATTTATTTTCTAATGAGTTCATAAAAATGCTTATCACTACATATAAACTGTATTAGAATCCATAATTTACTTGAAAACTTGAGCTCATTGATTCAGCTGTGTATGAATTCAGGCCGTATAAAAGCGTGACGCCCGCTCTCCTCCAATCACAGAACGAGGCTGCGTCCTCTGGCCTCTACAGCGCTGCTAAACACAGTAGCATGTTAGCATAAGTGGCTTTAACTCCTCTTGCTGTAACTGCACACACAGCAAAACAGCCCAAACCACACAACAGTGAGGAAGAGAAGAGAGAACTAAAGCGAAAAAATGATCAAAGAAGAAATCAAGCCCGGGTTCGGACGCGGAACTGGCGGTAATCTTTCAGTTATATACAGTATTTTGTTAGCAGTGCGTTGCTTTTGTACCATTTCATCAGTGATTGTTGTGCAGCTTAAGTTGCGCTAATGCTAATGCTAGCATATGTATCAGATCGCAAATAAAACTAGATGGCTCCGTGGGATGAGAGCGTAGGGGAAATGAGAAGCCTCTGAACTTGAAGTTGAGGGACGGTGCTAAACATTCAAACCTTGCAGAAACGGGTACAACTTCTTTAATACTAAAGGTCCAAGGCACAGCTGACTTTGAAATAAAAATCTTTACTCGGGACACAACCTCTTATTATTTTAAAATCAGTTGTGCCTAGGACCTTATTTTTTTTCCTTTAAATTTATGGACTAATTTGTTTCCAAAACTCTACTTAAATGGGACCTGTATGAAAATGTATGTACAGCACTAGATCATATCCGGAATCGGGACGGAAGCAGAAGTAAATATAACAAAATACCCATTAAAATAACCCCAACCCGGACTTCCGGTTTCCGCTATGCCCGGGTAGAACAGCTTGCCCGTGTGCTCTGACCAACTTAATTCTTAAAGTACCTGAAAAGGCGTTTAAACTCCACCAACGCACACAAATCTAACGACCTGACACGGCGATAATGTCATCCTCGCAAAAGATGTCCAGAAAGGACGCGAAAGCTGGCAAAGGTGACGAAATAAAGCAAAAGCAGCTAACGTTAGATGCTAGCTTAGCTCAGAGTGACACCGGTGGAGATATGCTAATGCTAACGGAGCTCCGTAAATTCCGCGAGGAATCAAGGTCTGCACAGAAAGACATAATTGACTCTCAAATACGAATGGAGACCTTGATTGGAGACATAAAGATAAGAATGGACACCCTGGAAGAGAGACTGACAACTGCTGAAAACAGAGTGAGTAACGCAGAAGACCGAGCAATGCGACACGATAGAGTGTTAGCTTACTTGTTGAAAAAAGACGTCCTGCTTACTACAAAACAAGATGATTTGGAGAACAGAATGCGCAGACAAAACATCAGACTATATGGGATCGAAGAGGAGGCAGAAGGAAAAGACATGATAACCTTCATCACTGATTTTTTTAAATCATCCCTGCAACTGCCAGATGATTTGGATATCTGCATTGAAAGAGGTCACAGAGCCTTGACACCGAAACCTGCCGCGCCACCGAGATCCATAATAGTGCGCCTTCAGGACTTTAAAGTAAAGCAAGAGATACTGAGGCAGGCATGGAAACAGCGAGACATGGAATTTCGGGGGAGGAAAGTTTACTTTGATCAAGACTATTCTCCGGAGGTACAGAGGAAAAGAAAGCAGGTGCGCGAGGTGATTAAAAAACTTAAGGAGCGCAGCATCAAAGCTCAATCGCCATACCCAGCGCAACTCAAGATTTTTCTGGACACGGGGATAAAGATCTTCCCCTCTCTAGCGGAGGCCAGGTCAACACTCGGAGAGCTGGGGATACATGTTGTGCTGGAAGAACGGGATATTTTGGAGAGAGAGGTGCTACAGGAAGGATGGCAGACCCGAAGCAGAGGGAAGAGGAATGGGCTGAACTCCAGAGAAATTAGATCCATTATTAACTTTGAGGACCAATCTGAAGAAGATTAAAAGAGAAGCCAACTAAAGAAGGTACAATTCTAGTGGAGCAAATGTTTCTGAAGTAACTATTTACAAGTTTTTTTTTGTGATATTTCTAAACTAATTGGTTTGAGCGGGGGCTATCCAGTGAATCCGGGCTTTAAGGCAGCAGAGACTAAGGGACCATAGACTGCTGCGCGCACACTGTGTGCACTTTACCCAGGAGGACTCCTTTTTTTTTTTTGTATTTGTTATTTTTCCTGCAACACCCTGGGTAATTGGAAGTTCATCTTTACTTTGTTTTCGTTTTGGTGTTCTTACTGTTCAATTTTTCTTGGCAGACTGTTTATAAAGTTTTGTTTTGATTGCAAAGGTGGAAAGACAAGAGATGTTATTACCTATTCTATCATCGGAACATGAGTACCATAAAACTTGTTAGTTACAACATAAATGGTTTGAATCATGTTATAAAAAGGAAAAAGGTTCTGACTCAATTAAAAAGGTTGAATTGTTCCATTGGGCTACTACAAGAAACCCATTTAAATGAGGAAGAACATGCCAAATTAAAAAGAGATTGGGTGGGCCAGGTCTTCAGTGCGTCATACGAAAATTATAAAAAAAGGGGAGTGGCTGTACTCTGTCACAAATCTTTGAATTTTGTGCCAGAGAAAATACTTAAGGACAAAAATGGCCGTTGGATACTGGTTAGAGGTCTCATTGGATCGATCTCTTTGACAATTATGAATGTTTACGCCCCAAACAAAGACGATCCGGGTTTTTTCAAAGAGTTGGCTCCAATTTTGGCTGGAAATTCTGAGGGTATAATTATAATGGGAGGGGATTTTAATTGTGTCTTAAATCACATAGATAAATTTCCATCTGAACAAAAAAACAAAATGGCTAAATCCAAAACATTGAATTGTATGCCAGAGGAATTAGGGCTGGTGGACATATGGCGGGTGAAAAACCCAAGGGTTCGGGATTATACACATTTTTCAAGAGTTCATAAGAGTCATTCTAGAATAGATTTCTTCTGTATGTCAAAACAAGATATTCATAGGGTTGAAGACAGTCACATTGAACCCCAGACCTTATCGGATCATAGCCCAGTGTCAATGACCTTAAATGTCGACCATGACAAGCCTTTAAAACTATGGAGACTAAATGTGTCACTTTTGAACAATCCTGAAGCTATTCAGTACATAAAGGAAGAATTAGTATACTTTCTGGAAACTAATGATAATGATGTGGTCTCCCCCTCCATTTTATGGGACACAGCAAAGGCCTTTTTGAGAGGTAAAATAATTTCACTTTCCTCCAGATATAAAAAAGAACGCGAGAAGAATCAGACAAAATTAGAAGAACAGTTGAAAAAGTTAGAAAGTGACCATAAAAGAACTAATGACAATGATACTTTTAATAAGTTGGAAAAATGTAAACAAGAACTGAATGAAATATTGACGTATAAGGCAGAAGTGCGTTACGCTTCACCAATCAAAGATATTACGAGCAAGGAAATAAAGCGAGTAGATTACTTGCATTTCAACTAAGGAAAGCTCAGGCAAGTAGAGTAGTTCAAAAAATGTCATGCTCAATATCCAAAAGGTCGGTGTCTCATCCCAGAGCAATAGCCAATGCTTTCTCTGAATATTATAAACAACTTTATGATTCTGAGCCCACTTATAATAAAAGAGAAAAAATAGATGACCTACTCCAAAAAATAAATCTTCCACAATTAGATACAAATAAGGCTAAAGCCCTAGTAGGCAGTATTACAAAAGAAGAAATTAAATCCATAATAGGAAAACTTAAAAATAATAAATCTCCCGGAGCGGACGGATTCCCCGGCGAATTTTATAAGTGTTTCCAGTCGGAACTTACTCCCCTTCTACAAAGAGTGTACAACTATGCACTGAATAATAAAGAGCCACCTAAAACATGGGCTGAAGCAATCATTTCAGTTATACACAAAGAGGGGAAAGACCCCACACAATGCGCATCTTACAGACCCATAAGTTTACTTTGCAATGATGTTAAAATCTTGAGCGCAATCTTAGCCAAAAGACTCCAAAATATTATTAATGACCTCATTAATCCGGATCAAACTGGATTTATTCCGGGCAGACTGGGAATGAATAATATTAGACGTACCCTAAATGTGATATCTACTGCGCGAAAGGACCCCGACACATCAATGCTTCTCAGCCTGGACGCTGAGAAGGCTTTTGATCGGGTGGACTGGTTATTTTTGAAAAGTGTCTTGATAAAAATGGGCTTTGACGAGAATTTTGTTGAATGGTTTGAGGTACTGTATACAAAACCCACATCAAGGGTCCGTGTTAATGGTCACATGTCAGAGAGTTTCCCACTGAAAAGAGGTACACGCCAAGGATGTTGCTTGTCACCAATTTTGTTTGCTATAGTATAGAACCTTTAGCACAATTAATCAGAAATAATCCAGCAATCATAGGTATATCAGATAAAGGTAAGACCAATAAATTATCATTATATGCTGACGATATTATATTATATATCAAAGATCCAATCACTTCTATCCCAGAACTTTTGAAATGTCTAGGAGATTTTGGGGATGTCTCAGGGTACAAAGTTAATGAACTAAAATCAGAGGCCATGATGATAAAAGGTACATGGCCCACAGAACTGTCCAAAAGAGTTACATTTAACTGGTCATCCAACGGATTCAGGTATCTGGGCATTATTATTACATCGGATACCTCACTACTATATAAAGCAAACTATGGAAAATTAATTAATCAAATCCAAAAAGATCTCAAAAGATGGGATTTACTACTCCTTTCTTTCATTGGGAGAGTTGAAACTATCAGGATGAACATCCTCCCCAGACTCCTATATTTGTTTTCGTCCCTCCCCATCTGGATCCCTACAACAAATTTCAAAAAGATTCAGAAAATGATTTCTAATTTTATTTGGCAGAAAAAGAAACCTAGAATAAAATTTACACGACTTACCAGCAGTAAGGCTTTTGGTGGGCTAAATTTACCTAATTTACATTTATACTACTGGGCAGCACAATTACGTGGGGCAGTGGAGTGGTTAAAGCAAAGTGAGGAAACAACATGGATAACTCTAGAACAAAGTGAGTGCTCTGATATACCTATGCAAGCTTTAGCGTTTTGTTCGAAAGAGATATGGAATAAATGTAAGATAGAAAACTCCTGGATGAAATGCACGCATAAGGTTTTAACTATTGTTAGGAAGAAGATAAACGCCCCTCAATCAATATCTAGAGCTATGAAAATATCAGAACTAATTGACTTTCGACCGGGACGACTAGATTCAAGGTTGAGAGAATGGGAAAGGTATAATTTAATTTTTATAGATGATTTGTTCGATGGGGAGGTTCTGAAATCATTTGATCAGATCAGGGAGAAATTCAATTTGAACACAACAGATTTTTATAGATTTTTGCAGTTGAGAAGTTATCTGATTTCTCACAAAGAGTGGTTATTTTTAAAATCACAACCAAGTGAGCTGGAGAGGATGTTTATAAAGACCAGGAAGAAAATTAAATGTGATAAAGTTGTGTCATGCTTATATACATGTTTACAATCAACTATGTCGACGAGTTCTCTTGAGATAAAAGAAAAGTGGGAATTGGAAATGAATAGAACTAGAGGACCACGACTGGGAGCAGATGTGTGAATATGGACATAGACTAACTAGCAGCCCAACATGGAAAGAATTTTTCTGGAAAGTGAATATTAGATATTTTAAAACCCCATTCATGATTTCAAAATATGATAAGACAAAAACAAATTTATGCTGGAGACAATGTGGACAAGTTGGCGACCACACACATATCTTTTGGGACTGTCCAAAATTGAAATCATTTTGGGAGGGAATTAGGGGCAACTATCTAAAATACTACACATTCACATAGAATGGGACCCACTGGCTTTTATCTTTGGAGTGCTCTTACCTCATGTTCTGAGTGGGGACAAAAGGTACCTGTTGATGGTTCTTTTACTGGTAGCGAAAAAAAAGATAACTGTGTCCTGGTACAAACCACTACCCCCCACAGTAAAACAATGGAGGGAGAGAGTTATACAGGTATACACAATGGAAAGAATAACATCAAAACTAAATCTTAACATGACTAAGTTTGAAAAGAGGTGGACTCCGTTAGTAAAATATTTAAATTTGCCACAGAAATGATGGCCAGAGTTCTAGTGACAGTCCTTTTCTTTCTTTCTTTCCATTTGGACACTTAAGGATGCTCAATCTTTAAAAGCATAGATTTCATTGTCAATCTGCCGAGACTTTGTTTTCGTTTGTTTGTTCTTTTTCTTTTTCACTTGTTTTTGTTATGAAGTGTGTCTTCTTTCTGAATAACACTTACTTAAAGCTTTCTGTATTGCATAAATGTGGAGATAAACTGTGAAGCTTGTAACAACAATAAACACTTTTGTTCAAAAAAAAAAAAAAATAACCCCAACCCAAACTTAACCAGTCACCACTTACGGGCTTATTAGTCTAAAACTAATTCGAAAGTAGGATTGTTACTTCCGGTTTCGTCCCGATTCCGTATATGATCTAGTGCCGACCGAATCCTGATCCCTGTGGACCAATGGCTCTATGTGTTTGTTAGTATTGCATTTCCTGTTTTCCTGTTTTCGAAACTGTTGGATTCTCTAATCTATTGTTTGCGAATTTTTTGTAAAGTCCTCCGAGTCGACTGAATGTAGTGATAAACAAATACATTGAATTTAATTGAAACAAGACTATTTCAGTTGGGACTAATACAATGTACTTAAACAAATCAAAAGTCATCTACTCCTTTAATATTTCAGTGTGTATCAATGTTACTAAAATCATGTCAAAGCTGTTTTTTCTGCTGCGGTCAGAAATGTCCCGTTGCAGTGAGCCGGAGCCTGTGGGGTCATAAAGTGCCTCCTCCACTTTCACAGAGACATTCACAGTGATGTGGAGGAAACATTGTGTGTTGATGTGAAAACAGCAGAGTCACACAGACTGTTGACAAAACAGCTCACAGTGCCACAGCGGCAACAGCTCCTGACACAGCAACTCCAAGGTTAAAGAGGGAAGAGGGCGTCTCAACACTGGGGCGGGTACAAGGAAGAGGTGTCTCTAATGCTAAACATGGGACACCTGTTTTTCATGCGTTTATTTTGTCAAAACAGAGAGAGTTCTGTAAAATCACCACAACATGCAGTCTCCATCTTCATAAGAAAACATTTGATCTTTTTCATCCTTCACATCTCATACACTCAGTCCCTATTTGACGCTTGCAATTGAATCAAAATGGCAATTTCTATGGTCGCAAATAAAAAAGAAATGATTCAAATAAGTTCTTTGCAAACAAAACATGGGAATAAATATAAGCAAAACATTTCATTTCATTTTTCATTTTCAACCCCTTTGTCCATTTCTGGGTCGGGGGGGTGGCAATGAGAGCTGCCACCCAACGCTCATAGCACCAGTCCCTTTTATTATTATTTTTATTTTTTTTTTTTTTATTTATTATTATTTATAGACTTTTATTATTCACTTTTTCAAATGGTTGTTTTTTTTCTAAATTTCTTTAAACTGTACACTGTGAGTGTTGCACTACTCAGGTCCGAGTATATATGCGAGCTGCTTGAGAAAAGATAAAAACTTCTGACAAAAGCGAGGGAACCAGTATGTGGCATCAACCTCTCTGACCACCAAAACACACCAAACTCATTCTGGGCAATGTGGGTGAAGTGTCTTGCCAAAGGACACAGAGACAGTTTTGGCACCGGGTGTTTCCAGAGGTCTCCCATCACGGCACTAACCAGGCCCTGCCCTGTATGGCATTCAGGCATTCACTTACAGACTGGCATGTGAAAGCAGCATTGTATTTTTTAATTTCTGCTATAAAACACTGTTTATACTGTAAGTTAGACCTGAACTTTTGATATTTTTGGGTGTCCCTTGCTGATGCAGGAGGGTCCTTGATTTGATTTTCTGTTCTGTTGTTGATGAATCGACTACTTTGTAAAGTCCTCGGATACTTCTGTGATGGATACATGGTCTTTTTGGATGAAGCAATAGCACCTCCAGCTCAATAAGAGATCATTCCTGAATATGTTTGGTGTTGGGATGTCTGGACCTACAGTGCATATCCATATAACAGGTGAGAGCCAGATGAGCACAGACCAGTAAAAATGTCCCGTCCGCACAGGAAGCTCCCGTCTGCAGCCGCTGAGGTCACATGATCACATCCATCCATCCCTCTGTGTGGAAAAACAGCTGCCCCGGAGCCGTATCTGTGCTCAAGGTGCAGCCCATAACCACAGATCTATAAAGCTGCAGGCCGAGGAGAGGAGAGGTGAGGTGTCATTCACAAATCCACTTCACACACTCCATACTGCGGTCAATCCAGCAGCGAAACATGAAAACGCTGAAAGATCTAAAGCTCTATCGCTCACTTTGAATATTGATAAGAGTCAAAATGTAGACGTCCACCAAAACCCCCTAAATCTTGTTATTGTTTTCATTTCGATGTCCCACCCTCCACCGTTTTACCAATCAGAAAGTCAGTGATCCGGGTTGTCAGAACTCACCGTGAGTATGTAGTGAGTATGTAGTGAGTATGTAGTGAGTATGTGGTGAGTATGTAGTGAGTATGTAGTGAGTATGTAGTGAGTATGTGGTGAGTATGTGGTGAGTATGTAGTGAGTATGTAGTGAATATGTAGTGAGTATGTAGTGAGTATGTAGTGAGTATGTGGTGAGTATGTAGTGAGTATGTAGAGAGTATGTGGTGAGTATGTAGTGAGTATGTGGTGAGTATGTAGTGAGTATGTGGTGAGTATGTGGTGAGTATGTGGTGAGTATGTAGTGAGTATGTAGTGAGTATGTGGTGAGTATGTGGTGAGTATGTAGTGAGTATGTAGTGAGTATGTAGTGAGTATGTAGTGAGTATGTAGTGAGTATGTGGTGAGTATGTGGTGAGTATGTAGTGAGTATGTGGTGAGTATGTAGTGAGTATGTAGTGAGTATGTGGTGAGTATGTAGTGAGTATGTAGTGAGTATGTAGTGAGTATGTGGTGAGTATGTAGTGAGTATGTGGTGAGTATGTAGTGAGTATGTAGTGAGTATGTGGTGAGTATGTAGTGAGTATGTGGTGAGTATGTGGTGAGTATGTAGTGAGTATGTGGTGAGTATGTAGTGAGTATGTGGTGAGTATGTAGTGAGTATGTGGTGAGTATGTGGTGAGTATGTGGTGAGTATGTAGTGAGTATGTAGTGAGTATGTAGTGAGTATGTAGTGAGTATGTGGTGAGTATGTGGTGAGTATGTAGTGAGTATGTAGTGAGTATGTAGTGAGTATGTAGTGAGTATGTGGTGAGTATGTGGTGAGTATGTAGTGAGTATGTGGTGAGTATGTGGTGAGTATGTAGTGAGTATGTAGTGAGTATGTGGTGAGTATGTAGTGAGTATGTGGTGAGTATGTGGTGAGTATGTAGTGAGTATGTGGTGAGTATGTGGTGAGTATGTAGTGAGTATGTAGTGAGTATGTAGTGAGTATGTGGTGAGTATGTGGTGAGTATGTAGTGAGTATGTAGTGAGTATGTGGTGAGTATGTGGTGAGTATGTAGTGAGTATGTGGTGAGTATGTAGTGAGTATGTAGTGAGTATGTAGTGAGTATGTGGTGAGTATGTAGTGAATATGTGGTGAGTATGTAGTGAGTATGTAGTGAGTATGTAGTGAGTATGTAGTGAGTATGTGGTGAGTATGTGGTGAGTATGTAGTGAGTATGTAGTGAGTATGTAGTGAGTATGTAGTGAGTATGTGGTGAGTATGTAGTGAGTATGTAGTGAGTATGTAGTGAGTATGTAGTGAGTATGTGGTGAGTATGTGGTGAGTATGTAGTGAGTATGTGGTGAGTATGTGGTGAGTATGTAGTGAGTATGTGGTGAGTATGTGGTGAGTATGTAGTGAGTATGTAGTGAGTATGTGGTGAGTATGTAGTGAGTATGTGGTGAGTATGTGGTGAGTATGTAGTGAGTATGTGGTGAGTATGTGGTGAGTATGTAGTGAGTATGTAGTGAGTATGTAGTGAGTATGTGGTGAGTATGTGGTGAGTATGTAGTGAGTATGTAGTGAGTATGTGGTGAGTATGTGGTGAGTATGTAGTGAGTATGTGGTGAGTATGTAGTGAGTATGTAGTGAGTATGTGGTGAGTATGTAGTGAATATGTAGTGAGTATGTAGTGAGTATGTAGTGAGTATGTGGTGAGTATGTGGTGAGTATGTAGTGAGTATGTAGTGAGTATGTGGTGAGTATGTAGTGAGTATGTGGTGAGTATGTGGTGAGTATGTAGTGAGTATGTGGTGAGTATGTGGTGAGTATGTGGTGAGTATGTAGTGAGTATGTAGTGAGTATGTAGTGAGTATGTGGTGAGTATGTGGTGAGTATGTAGTGAGTATGTAGTGAGTATGTGGTGAGTATGTGGTGAGTATGTAGTGAGTATGTAGTGAGTATGTAGTGAGTATGTGGTGAGTATGTGGTGAGTATGTAGTGAGTATGTAGTGAGTATGGCAACAGAACTAAAAAAGTCTCTTTATGATTCTCAAATCATTAATCACAAAACAAGGATTTCTATTGGGGCCTTTGTGAAAAAGGTGTTTTTTATAGATCTGTTGTTGAAAAAACTCTTGTCTATTCAGTTATTATAGTCTCAGCTGGATCTGTCTGCATATCTGGCAACCTGAGTCAGGGAGAGTGGGAAAGGTTGCAGTATCACTTTTGGCCAGATTTTTTCATACTGCTCCTTTAATGGAACTATACGTTATGAAATCAATGTACAGTAGACACACATTCTCTCCTTCTTCCACACACTTCTTCAACATTTCATTTTTAAAAGTTTTTTTGAATGTTAATATTTGAACATGTTTTTACTTCATCTGGTTTGTTTCTAATCTCTCAGTTACAACACAAATAACAGAGATTAATATGAAGATCCTTTATTCGTCCCGCAGAATAGAAATTTCAGTACATGTTAGCATATGTACATGTTAGCATTATGTATATGTTAGCGTCTGTACATGTTAGCGTCTGTACATGTTAGCATCTGAACATGTTAGCATCTGTACATGTTAGCATCTGTACGTGTTAGAATCTGTACGTGTTAGCATCTGTACATGTTAGCATCTGTACATGTTAGCATCTGTACATGTTAGCATCTGTACATGTTAGCATCTGTACATGTTAGCATCTGTACATGTTAGCATCTGTGCATGTTAGCATCTGTACATGTTAGCATCTGTACATGTTAGCATCTGTACATGTTAGCATCTGTACATGTTAGCATCTGTACATGTTAGCATCTGTGCATGTTAGCATCTGTGCATGTTAGCATCTGTACATGTTAGCATCTGTACATGTTAGCATCTGTGCATGTTAGCATCTGTACATGTTAGCATCTGTACATGTTAGCATCTGTGCATGTTAGCATCTGTACATGTTAGCATCTGTGCATGTTAGCATCTGTACATGTTAGCATCTGTACATGTTAGCATCTGTACATGTTAGCATCTGTGCATGTTAGCATCTGTGCATGTTAGCATCTGTACATGTTAGCATCTGTACATGTTAGCATCTGTGCATGTTAGCATCTGTGCATGTTAGCATCTGTACATGTTAGCATCTGTACATGTTAGCATCTGTACATGTTAGCATCTGTACATGTTAGCATCTGTGCATGTTAGCATCTGTGCATGTTAGCATCTGTGCATGTTAGCATCTGTACATGTTAGCATCTGTGCATGTTAGCATCTGTGCATGTTAGCATCTGTACATGTTAGCATCTGTACATGTTAGCATCTGTGCATGTTAGCATCTGTGCATGTTAGCATCTGTACATGTTAGCATCTGTGCATGTTAGCATCTGTACATGTTAGCATCTGTACATGTTAGCATCTGTGCATGTTAGCATCTGTACATGTTAGCATCTGTACATGTTAGCATCTGTACATGTTAGCATCTGTACATGTTAGCATCTGTACATGTTAGCATCTGTACATGTTAGCATCTGTGCATGTTAGCATCTGTGCATGTTAGCATCTGTGCATGTTAGCATCTGTACATGTTAGCATCTGTGCATGTTAGCATCTGTACATGTTAGCATCTGTACATGTTAGCATCTGTACATGTTAGCATCTGTACATGTTAGCATCTGTGCATGTTAGCATCTGTGCATGTTAGCATCTGTACATGTTAGCATCTGTGCATGTTAGCATCTGTGCATGTTAGCATCTGTACATGTTAGCATCTGTACATGTTAGCATCTGTGCATGTTAGCATCTGTGCATGTTAGCCGTATGAGAGACTAAAGGACAAATTGACACTGTAGTAGAGCAACAGTGACAGATGTGATTTTATTGCACATTCTGACATTAGATGAACATATTGCACCGATGCATGACATGTGAGAGACCATTAGCATAGTGATAGCCCTATTGTAAGTAACGTTATTATTGTCCCTGTAGTGAAATTTGTCCTCTGCATTTGACCCATTCTGATGCCACTGGGCGTCTGTCAGGAGCAGTGGTCGTCATAGTTACAGCGCCCAGGGAACCAACTCCGGATGTTGATGCTCGGCTTGCTCAAGACTTTCAAAGTTGGAGGATTTTTCCTACCGTACATGATTATAGTGGTATTATTATGTATAGATTATTTACCCATGGTTCCTTTGGGTGGATAACAAGCTATAGGGTCTAGAAGTCAACAAAATTCAGCTTGAAAAACAAACGTTTTTGAATCCCTGGGCAGAACAACAATGTTAGCACTTTGAAATTGCCTTGTGTGTGAACTGTGCTATACACAATTAAACTTGCCTTCCTCCTTTCCTTGCCCAGGGGGACACCGGAACACCCGGAGGAAACCTGACACAGACACCCAGGGACCAACATGCAAACTCCGCTCAAACTCCTCCTTGTTCCAACCGGGATTCGAACCCCGGACTAACCACTCAGCCACCCGTGAGCATATACGACTCCGCTCTGTGGTCCGCGATTTTCATTAGTCAAACACACACCTGCGCCATATTTTTATAAATGACTTTGTGTATTTTTAAAGTCACAAAGATGACGGCCTCTAAACATACAAGCCGTGTTTGCATGGGGCCCGCCGCATGTAGACCCAGTACACTTTTATAGGCCTATGCAAATCCGCTGCTCAAGTGTTAACCCGGCCCATAGCGCTGTTTGCAAAAGGCAGGTGCGGTGGATATTTTTTTATTTTTTTATGGGTTTTTTACCCTCAGAGACTAAGTGCATGGCAACAAAACACTTGATTCTTAACAGGTGATCCATGCCGTTTTAAATAAGATGTTATGCAAATGAGTGGGGCTTTTTCCTTTTGAGACTACATTCATTTAAAACAGACCTGTTGTCAGTTGTTGGCTCCATACACGGCAATAACAGCAACTTCTGGTACAAATATGGCAAGGAAAACAACATAGGAACAGCCGCTCGAGGCATTAATAATCGCTGTACATTAACAAGATTAAAAATAAAACCCTTCAGTTGTATCCACAGTTAAACAGAAGTGATTACAACCTGGATTTGAACATTGTCAGTGAAAGAAGCCTGTTTCACATTTTCAGGAAGACTGTTCCATGTTTTAGCTGTGTACATCTGAAATCCATGTTTAGTTCTGACTCTGTGCACCAGCAGGAGGCCAGTCCCTGTGCTCCTCAGAGTCACCAGCAGGAGTCCAGTCCCTGTGCTCCTCAGAGTCACCAGCAGGAGGCCAGTCCCTGCTCCTCAGAGTCACCAGCAGGAGGCCAGTCCCTGTGCTCCTCAGAGTCACCAGCAGGAGGCCAGTCCCTGTGCTCCTCAGAGTCACCAGCAGGAGGCCAGTCCCTGTGCTCCTCAGAGTCACCAGCAGGAGGCCAGTCCCTGTGCTCCTCAGAGTCACCAGCAGGAGGCCAGTCCCTGTGCTCCTCAGAGTCCAGCAGGAGTCCAGTCTCTGTGCTCCTCAGAGTCACCAGCAGGAGTCCAGTCCCTGTGCTCCTCAGAGTCACCAGCAGGAGTCCAGTCCCTGTGCTCCTCAGAGTCACCAGCAGGAGTCCAGTCCCTGTGCTCCTCAGAGTCACCAGCAGGAGGCCAGTCCCTGTGCTCCTCAGAGTCCCAGCAGGAGGCCAGACCCTGTGCTCCTCAGAGTCCCAGCAGGAGGCCAGACCCTGTGCTCCTCAGAGTCCCAGCAGGAGGCCAGTCCTTGTAGTCCTCAGAGTCACCAGCAGGAGGCCAGTCCCTGTGCTCCTCAGAGTCCCAGCAGGAGGCCAGTCCCTGTGATCCAAAGAGTCCAAGTTGGTTCATATGGCACTAACATGTCTCGGAAGTACTTTTGTGAGAGGCCATGGCCCGCCCCTTCTGTCTAAAGGCTCTGTTTTCAAACTCTGTCCTCTGTGACGCAGCTTTAGACCATGGCATTATGGACAGAGCTGATTTCTTTCTTTTAAAACTAAAGTATTGCCTTTATCCACTGTCTTCATGTTATTGGAAAACTGTGTAATCTTCTGCATTATAAGACATAAGTCAGAGCCCTGTGAGTACATATTTGACTATTAGACTGATTGGCTGAGTCCGGGTGGTTCTCTCCTTTTCACTTTTGTGTCAGAAAACGCTGATCTAAAGATGTGACAGAGGCCAAACTATGCATGCACCTGGTAACTAGTCGAGGGTGAGGAACGAGTAACATGGATTTTCAAAGTATACCTCATGTTTTTGGATTTCAAAGTAAGGTACTCAAGCTTTACTTCCTGTGAACATTGGTTAGTCTTTTTCTCTGATCATGTTTTCATTGTTTCTTCTTCCTCTATACGATTAGTAGATGGACAATTTAGGGCTATGCAAAAATAAAGTAGTGGCCGAAAATGTCTTTATAAATGTCTATACATCTATATATATACTAGGCCTTATCGATCTATATTGTATGTGCTCCTACAATTGTCCTGTATGTGCGTTGCAACATCAAAATTTCCTCCACAAATAAAGTTTCTCTTATCTTAACTGCAGAATCAGAAGGATAATCAGCCAGGTGATTGATTATAGATCAGCCTTATTAAACCTTACTATTATCAAAATAACCTTTAAAAGATAAAAGAATGGATTCAATTTCATGAAACGGAAATGCTCATGTTTGAGAAAGACGAGGCTGAAACAGACTGATAGAAGATCTGTGGTTGTGACCTTCCTTGTTCAAACGAATGATGAATCATCCCTTAGTCTTTTGCATATCTGAAAGAAAAACATCGGGAGAAAACAGAAAGACAACAAAAAGTATATGTCCAGGGCTCCCAGGCGGCGTCTTTGTGGTCGAAGGTTCCACATTGCCATTTTCCATACACTTTACATGGACGTTTAGACTGGCAAATTCATTCTGCAAACACAGCAGGCGATTCCAAGACATGCATGTAACAAAGGAGACAGATGGATTCACAAAGTTCACTGCAATAAAGAACCAGACCAAAAATCATGGCTTTACAGATACAGCTTATAGATTACACATACGCTGATCTAATACATACATTCTATCGGAGAGGATTTTTGTGATTTTTTTTCCCTTTGTCTCGATGTCTGCTAAGCTTCTCCTAAGATTTACAACTATTTGCATAAACTTGCAAATGTGGCTATCATCTGGATTTCAAGTGACTGCATTTGCCTTTCTCCTTAATCCTTGCGTCAATGTTTCAAAATGGTGGAAGATGGGACAAGGCTCCAAAGTGGCTTCGCCTTGCAAATTGCCGGCTTCCCTGGAACAATTAGACTTTCCAAAAGCCAGCCAAGCGAAGTCAAATAGGGATTAAGAGCGCAAACAGAGGCCTCCATGAGAACACAGGAATCTTTTTTATCTGCGGTGAGGGCTGGAGGGTGTGTTGAGAGGGCTGCTGGGTAATTTTTAAGGGGCCAAACGACAAGTGTGCAGAGTGGAGAGTGTGCGTGCTTATATTCTTGCTCCATCCTGCTGTGAAGTATATGTGGGTGATTGTAGAGGCCACTGAGATAACACTAACCAGCAGTGGGCAGGGGCTGGGAGACCCGACAAGAGCGGCCCATGAAGCTTTAAAGCTGGGGTACCTAACTTTACTTGTTTTGTTTCGCCAGAGAGAGTCTTGTAAAAGTTTGAACAAATCAGATGTAAATGTAAATGTGCACTTTATTGTCCCTGTAGGGAAATTCGTCCACTGCATTTGACCCATCCTGATGCCACTAAGGCTTACGTCAGGAGCAGTGGTTGCCGTAGTAACAGCGCCCGGAAACCCATCTCCAGAAGTTGATGCTCGGCCTGGGACTGGTCCGGAGCTGGAGGATTTATTTGTTATTTATTTTTTTTTTGTTATTTATTTATTTTATTTGGGCATTTAGAAGACAAAAGAATAATAATGTGAAGAAAAAAAAAAAAAAAAATAGCCCAAAAGGGAGTTGGCAGAAGCTGAAACAGCTTATCTGGGCCTACCCCCTATTGCCAATCAAATGCATAACACTTACACATACATACCTTGATATATACATAATTCACATACGTACATTAATATTTCAATTTGGAGAGACGAGAAACAGGAAGTTGAGTATTTTATGAAAGGAGGTTTGGCGCCCTAGGTCCCGGTGCGGCCTTCGGATCGGAAAGGCTCCTGCGATGAGTGCGCACAATCCCCCGGGACCTAGGCACTGGTGGCGGCATTTGGCAGCGGGAAGAAAATTGAAGGCAGATTGAAGGCAGGGTGAAGAGGAGGAGGAGGGGAGGCGGTGGTTGCGAGGCTTCAGGAGGCCGGTAGTGGGAGTTGCTCCGTTTTTATGCGGCTGCGAGTCGGTACAGATGATTGGAAGGGGGCGTCTGCTGAGCGATAGGCTGGGGATGAGAGCCGGCCTGGAGGGGTAAATTTGGTTAACGTCTACCAAATTGAATTTTCGCGGGCTGCATTTCAATTTGGAGAGACGAGAAACAGGAAGTTGAGTATTTTATGAAAGGAGGTTTGGCGCCCTAGGTCCCGGTGCGGCCTTCGGATCGGAAAGGCTCCTGCGATGAGCGCGCACAATCCCCAAAAAGGCTGCGTGTTGATGGAGTTTTCGAAGCCTGGTTTGGAGTGGACAGACGTCGTGACTACTCTATTCTGTGACCGCTATCGCTATATTCTGTGACCGCTATCGCTATATGCTGTGACCGCTATCGCTATATGCTGTGACCGCTATCGCTATATGCTGTGACCGCTATCGCTATATGCTGTGACCGCTATCGCTATATGCTGTGACCGCTATCGCTATATGCTGTGACCGCTATCGCTATATGCTGTGACCGCTATCGCTATGCTGTGACCGCTATCGCTATATGCTGTGACCGCTATCGCTATATGCTGTGACCGCTATCGCTATATGCTGTGACCGCTATCGCTATATGCTGTGACCGCTATCGCTATATGCTGTGACCGCTATCGCTATATGCTGTGACCGCTATCGCTATATGCTGTGACCGCTATCGCTATATGCTGTGACCGCTATCGCTATGCTGTGACCGCCAGCGCAATGCTGCTAACCATTTTTTGCTATATGCTGTGACCGCTATCGCTATATGCTGTGACCGCTATCGCTATATGCTGTGACAAGTTTGTGTAAGCCCTCAGTCGTACAGGGATTAGTCAAAGCAAAGGAAGGTTTCTCACCCATCATCTGTACTTCTTAGCAAGTTTTCCCGACGTTTCGTCCTCAACCTGGGGACTTCTTCAGGGAATGAATTCTCGGACCGCGCGTTGGAGATTTATAACCTATGGGTGTGGTAAGCCACACCCTAATCCTGATACTAACTCGTAAACAATCTCAGGTCTGCTTGATGTAGAAGGGAGCAGGTCTAACGACCCTGCTGAGGCTAACGACCCTAACTCCTTAGCATGTCACAGACCTATTGTCTGCTGGGATGCTCAAGTGGAGTGCAGGTTTCACCCCTCCTAACTCATTAGCATGTCACTGACCTTGTCCCAAGTTAGGGCGTTGTTTTTAGGATGTCGTCATAGATGCGAGGCAAAAC